GGAGCAGGAGGAGGAGGAGGAGGAATCGTCAGGAATCGTCAGATGAGGGACAGCGTACGTCCGAAGGGACGGGCCCGCGGGCCCGCTCAGAACAGGTACAACACCTGGTGCACCCGCCCGGGTACACGAACACGTAGACGCCGAACACGGACCTCATGTGGCTGGCGCTGGCACGGAGGCGTCGGGGGCGTCGATGCGCGCGGCAACGGCGTCGGGCAAGAAGCTCTTGGCGAGCTCGTGCATCATCTCCAACATGTAGACCACGTGGGCCGTGTCCGTAACGAGGCCCATGCCGTACTGGGGCTGCGCGTTGGTCTCGTCGGACGCCGCATGCGTCAGGAACTTCTCGATGTGGCCCTTCGCGTCCTGCATCGTGTGCTGGATCGCCACGCGCGCCGTGTCGAGGGTCTTGCTGATGTCCTGCAACTGCGTCTGCAGGTCGGGGCTGGTGGCCTCGCCCTTGATGCCCTCGCTGAGCTCCGACTCGGAGGGCGTGGCACCGCCGTGCACGCCATCAGGAGCTCGGTGCCGTCGTGTCCGCTGTCGCCGCTTCGCCTCCTTGCCGTTCTTGGGGAGCGCGTCGGCGCCCTCGCCGAAGAGGGCGTGCTCCGCCATGTTGCGCTGCGCCTTCATCTCGCCATCAATGTTCGGCTTGGACTCGGCGTGCGCCGCGACCACCTTCGCGCGGAGCACGGGGGTGATGCGCTCCACTCGCGCCTGCACCTCCTCGTCCACGTCCTTCTCCTCCGCTATGGTGCTGGGCTCGTCGGCGCGAGCCGCACGCCACAGGGCCACCGCTGTTGCCGCCACGACTTGCCGTGAAGCGCCAGCACGCACGATCACAGAGAGGAGCGCCGCCGCCGTCGCGTCGGCCATGACCGTAGCCAGCTCGAGCCAACGCGCGGGCGGGGGGCGCAGGCGCGGCGAGCAGGCTCTGAGCCAAAATGGCTACGGAGGGGAGGGAGGAGGGAGGAGGAGGAGGAGGAGGAGGAGGAGGAGGAGGAGGACGAGGAGGAGGAGGAGGAGGAGGAGAGGAGGAGGAGGAGGAGGAGAGGAGGAGGGTGAGGAGGAGGGAGAGAGGGAGGGAGAGGAGGGAGGATAGGGAGGAGGGAGGGAGGGAGGAGCAGGAGGAGAGGAGGAGGAAGAGGCGGAGGGAGGGAGAGAGGAGGGGGAGGAGGGAGGAGGGTGAGGAGGAGGGAGGAGGGAGGAGGTGAGGAGGAGGGGGAGGAGGAGGAGAGGAGGAGGAGGAGGAGGAAGGAGGAGATGGAGAGGAGGAGGGAGATGAGGGAGGAGGAGGAGGAGCAGGGAGGAGAAAGGAGGAGGAGAGGAGGAAGTGAGAGGAGTGAGGAGTAGGAGGGAGAGAGGAGGAAGAGGAGGAGGAGGAGGAGAAGGAGGCAGAAGCGGAGGAGGAGGACGAGGATGAGGAGGAGGAGGAGGAGGATGAGGAGGAGGAGAAGGAGGCAGAAGCGGAGGAGGAGGAGGAGGAGGAGGAGGAGGAGGAGGAGGAGCAGGAGCAGGAGGAGGATTAGGAGGAGGATGAGGATGAGGAGGGAAGAGGGAGGGGGAGGGTCGCCCTTAGCCGCAGGTCCGCGAGGGGTGGCGAGCCCTCCGCGAGCTTTGCGGCTCACGTGACCGCTGGCTTCGACTCGGGCGGGACAGGGGAGGGTAGCCCCCCCCTCTCTTCCTTCCCCCCCTCGTCGTCGTCCTCGTCCTCCTCTTAGACGTTGCCTTTGCGGCCTCTCCCACCTCCTCTCGAATTGGAGTGTGCCCGCCTGCGGGCACACGCCGCTCGACGCACTGGTGCTGACACAATGGATGTTGACCTGTGCGTGTGTGTTGCGGGGGAACAACTTCTCCCCCTTTAGACGTTAGAGCTGTTCTGTCGCTGCTGTTGCTGGGCATGGGCATGAGATGCCCAGACTCACCCACGCAAGGCGTGGTAACCAAGGCGTGGTAACCAGCAAGAAGCAAGCTCACCACAGCTCCGCACTGGTCTCGGGTGCCGGGGCCTATAGGCGCTACCATGCTTTCGTTGATGAATCACTTGCCAGTCCGCATCACATCCGCACTGCTGAGGACCAACTCATTTTTTCTTTCCCCGCCCCAGTGATGTACGCGCGATGCTGCGTGAAGGGACTAACCGCGCTCAATGTGTCCAGCTCCTGTCTAGTCTCCCCGAGGCCTCTGGGCATGAGATGGTATGGGGCAGGGCCCTTAGGTTAAGACTGCAGAGGGCCAAGGACCCAGTTATGCAAGCTTGCATCATATCTTTGGTTCGTGGGGCCATGTGGCCGCCAGTTAAAGCAGTTTGCGCAGGGCTATGCAGAGTCCAATCAGTTTTCGTTGTTGCTTTTTTCAAGGCGGCTGTAGGCACGTGTGGGCATCAGTTCTACGACTGCAATGCGCTGTGAACTGCTGAAGAACACCCAAGCGTTGCCCCCGTCCTTTCCGATAAAGTTCTGGAGCACAGGCAATGGCTGCATGACAACAGAGCTTACGGGATTCCCCCCGATTTCGACTCCGTTGAGTTGGTTCATGGCCTCCCCCTCCTCGCTCTGAAGTGCCCGCCCACTGGTCAGCCAAAGCCCCGTGTTTGAGTGGGGGACTGTGCACCGACCTGGTGGGTTTAATAAGATGTGCACCAGCGGTTCTGGCCCGGCCAACGGGCTGCCTGAGGCGGCCAGATCTGGCTGGACGGTTGTCGAGCTTTCTCCTCGAGGGTGACCCATTCGGGCCATCTACGGGCCCGTCGCGGGAAGGGGCCATACGGTGCCCAGGGCTGAGCGCCAGGCCATCTTCCAGGCACTGCACTGTGGCCCCGGGGGGCCTGATGTCATTTCGGGCCGCCTGCCTGCCGTGGAGGACGGTCTGCCTTGGGACCCCCTGCTCGGCGTTGGATTTGGCAAGCACGCGGCAGATCGGAATGACATCTGTCGTCTGTATGCTGAGAGGCCAGAGCGGCCTAGCTTCACATGGACCCCAGCCCACGGGGGTCTTCAGCATCGCGTGGAGTGCCAGGCAGCCCGCGACAGGGACAGCTGGCAACACGAGCCCGATCTCCGCAGAAAAGCACGAGCAGACTTCTTCGCGCGATCGGGAGCGGAGTCCCATGCTGTGCTAGACATCAGGGTGACGCTTCATGCAGCGGCCAAACATGCATGTCGCACGCTCGGCATTGTGAGCAGGGCCTCGCAGCACGTAGCTGCGGAGGCCCCAGAGTTGTTTCCTCCCTTCTCCGAAGGCCAAAACAGCAGGTTCCAAGAGCTTTGCTGGACATCTTCTGGCAATTTTGGTGTGTACGAAGGAGTCCCAGAATACAGCCAGACACAGTGTATCTTGCATTCAAGAGGTACGCGAGGTGTTTTCTCTACGGCGGAAACAGGGATGTCGTTCGTGACAGCGTCGGCCTGCCCCGTGTGGTTGTTTGTGGCAGGTCCTGAAGAGGATGGCCAACCACACGCCGAAACGCTGAGGGCGAACTGGACCAGGGGTGCCCGAATAGTTGGGCATACTCAGTCCGAGACCAAAGGAGGACCCCAAGGCAACCGCCTCTGCATCCACCGGCCAAGCCGGGTGGCATCCACCGGCCAAGCCGGCTGGGTGCGGAGGCGGGTGTACAGATAATGCTTTGTACGTTGCATTTTTTGTGATATGACAGGCAAATTACGGGTTATCAGCCGAAGCTCTCCAGGAGCTCGTCTTCGGCGGCGCAGCCTTTTTCCCCATCAGTCAGAGAGATTCCGGCATGCTTGCGCGTGTTGCAGAGAGATTCCGGCATGCCTGCAAGTCGGCTCCGCCGTCCTGTGCTCCAGTCAGTGCCCTGGTCACGGGGGCGGGGGGTCAGACATTCAAGGAAAAATGGGGCACCTGCGGCCAGTCCGCCAGGTGCCGACGGTGTCACGAAAGAGGGGGCAGTTGTTTCCTCCCTTCTCCGAAGGCCAAAACAGCAGGTTCCAAGAGCTTTGCTGGACATCTTCTGGCAATTTTGGTGTGTACGAAGGAGTCCCAGAATACAGCCAGACACAGTGTATCTTTGCATTCAAGAGGTGCGCGTGGTGTTTTCTCTACGGCGGAAACAGGGATGTCGTTCGTGACAGCGTCGGCCTGTCCCGTGTGGTTGGTTGTGGCAGGTCCTGAAGAGGATGGCCAACCACACGCCGAAACGCTGAGGGCGAACTGGACCAGGGGTGCCCGAATAGTTGGGCATACTCAGTCCGAGACCAAAGGAGGACCCCAAGGCAACCGCCTCCGCATCCACCGGCCAAGCCGGGTGGCATCCACCGGCCAAGCCGGCTGGGTGCGGAGGCGGGTGTACAGATAATGCTTTGTACGTTGCATTTGTTGTGGTATGACAGGCAAATTACGCCCAGACGGCCCCTCAATGCAAAAACGCCGCGGGGACCATGTCCCCCAAGTCGCTGTGCTCTCTCACGCTCTAGAGGCGGCGGAGGGGGGGAGGGAATACGATGCACGTGGCGCCACTGCCCGGCCGGGACCCGCTTCGGCAGGGCCAAGCTAGACCAGCCTGGCGCAAGATGGTGTCGAGCGCGATGTGCCGCAGTCGTTGCTGCTCTCAATGAGCTGGGGCTTAGCACGGCGGCCGACGGATCCCTCGCGAGCCCCCAGACACCTTCGAGCACGGCGGGCATCCCGTCCATGCCGCATGGCGTTTTCTGTTGTGTCGCTGCGGCGCCCGTTCCGTGATCGAGGCGCCTTGCCGGCGCTCTTTGCTGCGGCCCTGCCATGGGCTGCTGCCTCGGGACAGGCTGGGCTCTACGACGAGGTCCCGGCAGGGCGGGAGCTATGAGCAGCCGCTGTCTGCGGCGGCGCTTCGCGCCGCCGTAGGCTGAGGGTGCCTAGGTCAGCGGCTCGTCTCCATACTGTATGTTTCACTGGAGTTGGGGCCGTGCTCCTCCCCCGTGCAGCCGAGCTGCACACGTCCTTTCGGCTAGTTCTCGGTCTCGACCCGGATGCCCGACCTTGGTCGTCCCTCGTCCCTTTTGGGCGCTCGGCAAACCTGGTTCGATTGGGAATCTCAGCGCCTGTCCTCCTCTCCTCTCCACTCCTCCTCCTCCTCCTCCTTCTCCTCCTCCTCCTCCTCCTCTGCCTTCCCCCCTCCCCCCTCCTCCTTCCTCCTCCTTCCTGCTTCCTTCTCCCCCCTCCTCCTTCCTTCTCCCTCCTTCCTCTTCCCTCTTTCCTTTTCTTCTGCTCCCTCCTCCCTCTCCTGATGATCCTTCTCCTCCTCCTCCTCCTCCTCCTGCTCCTCCTCCTCCTCCTCCTCCTCCTCCTCCTCCTTCTCCTCCTCCCTCCCTCCCTCCCTCCCCCCCCCCCCCTTTCCACCTCCTCCTCCTCCTGCTCCTCCTCCTCCTCCTGCTCCTCCTCCTCCTCTTCCCTCCTCGCCTCTTTCCTTCCTCCCTGCTCTTCCCCAGCATTTCTCCCTCCTCCTTCTGTTTCCTCGTTCTGCTCACTCACCCCTCGCTCCCTTGACGCCCTGGCGCTGTCGGCGTTTGTCCGCACGGGATCGTCGATGCAGGCTTCTGGGCGTGTCTGGCCCTGGGGATCGAGGTTCGAGGATCGATGATCAAAGCTTTGGATGAGTCTGACCCTCTGGGGCCTCGGGAGGCCTCTTTGGGCGCTCTAGGGACTTTTGGAGACCCCCACGACCCCCTGAGGACCTCTGGGGAGGGTGGAGAGGGATGGGGAGAAGGAGGGGGAGGAGGACCAGAGTGAACCGAAGACGCATCACCGATGCTACAAATTACCCTCCCGTCCCACGCCCATCCTGATAAGCCCCTACAAGTTATCGCTTTCACTGCAAACAACGCCCCCCTTTGACAGACCAGCACCTGATGGGCCTACCATTCAGGCGGGAGCCCCCGCTTTGGCAAGGAGTTGCCTTGCATCCTTCTAGCGCGCATTCTGGTATGGGGGAAGGTACGCACATATAGCC